TGTGCGTGTCTATGCGAGTGTGTGAGTGTGTGTGTGTGTGTGTGTGTGTGTGTGTGAGTGTGTGTGCGTGTGTGTGTGTGTGCGTGTGTGTGCATGTCTGTGTGAGTGTGTGAGCATGTGTGTGCGTGCGTGTGTGTTTTTATCTAAATATATATACACAATCTATAGTTTTTTTATTCATTTTTAATTTCAGTTTTAGTTTATTTTAGTGCATCACATCAATTTAAATTAAAATGAGAAATGTTGCCTTGTCAACTAGCTGAAATGTTTGATTATTGTTGTGTTCTAATGTGTTAAAGTTAAATGAAAAATATTATTTTAAAAAAATGTTGCCGTGATTGAAGCACTAAAATGACTAACTAAAAAAATAAAAACTGAACAATAACTAAAAAAAATGCATAAAAATTTCTAAAAATATAACTTGAGTTATACAAATAAAAGCTAATTAAAAATATTAATAAAAAATATAATAGTATATAAGTAATAGGTCATGTATGATCTGGTTATGTGTCGAGCATGGCAACACATGCACCGCTCACGTTTGTTTAAATGTTAAATATCGTTTGGCTTTTGTGTCTCAGGTCGTGTCCTGCGTCTGAAGATGTTTCGTGAGGACCACGGCTCTTGGATGACCATGTTTTTCAGCACGATTCTCTCGCTCTTCATCTTCTCTCACATCTATGACCTCATTCTGCTCGTGAGTGACGGATGCGGTAAGACACAACAACAAGTTGTACCTTCATTCCCTCTTCACAGCTTTTCTCAGTCGGGATGGCAGTGATTCTTTTATTCTTTTTTGAAAGTCCCAGTAATTGGCCATGACTATTAGATAATAGTAAATGAGTCCAGAACCGCTGATTGATTCGAACGGATGACTCAGGGATTCAAATCTTTGAGTGTGTTTGGAGCTGAATCATGATTCTTTTTGAGCGATTCAGTTGAACGAACCAACTCATGAGATGTATTTGTTCCTAAATCATCTCACATAGCAACCAACTGATTTGTGAGTGATTTTGAGTGATTCATCAAAAAGAACCAGCTAAAAGAATCATTACTGAATCAGACTACACTGACCTTTCTGTATGTTTGTTGCTGCATGCAGAAATGCAACAGAAAAACTTCTTAAATTAGAAGTTTAAATGAGACTTTTAAGAGTTGTCCTTCATTCCCTCTTTCCCAGGTTTTCTTATTAGGGATGGCAGTTGTAAGGATTTTAAAGATTTCTGTCTCTTTAATTCCATTGATTATTCTTTTATTCATTTTAGGAAGTGCCCAATAGTTGTTTGTAACTATTAGATGATAGTTAATTAAGTAAATGAGTCCAGAACCACTGAATGATTCAGCAAGATAAGTGTGAGATTCAAATCTTTGTGTGTTTGAATTTGATTCACGAATCTTTCTGAGCGATTCAGTTAAACAACCCAGCTCATGAGATGTATTTGTTCATAAATCAGAGTACATATATTAACCATAGAGTTCAAGACTTTTAAAAGATTAATCAAAAAGAACCAGCTAAAAGGATCATTACTGAATCATTTAGTTGATAGAATCTATTAGATGATAGTAAATGAGTCCAGAACCCGCGGATTGATTCAATCCGATAACTGATGGATTCAAATCTTTGAGTGTGTTTGAATCTGATTCATGATTCTTTGTGAGCAATTCAGTTTTTCATAAATCAGACTCCATGTTATCCGTAAAGTTCAAGACTTTTAAAAAAGATTAATTAAAAAGAACCAGTTTAAAGAATGATTGCGGAATCAGACTACACTGATTGTTCTGTATGTTCGTTGTTGCATGCACAAATGCAACAGAAAGACATGTATGTATTTGTACGATTTTACTCAAAAATGTCATTGTACTGCAATTCTGCACAAGAATGGCTTCTCTCCTGAGGGATTGATTTGACCAGCCGTGCATGAATCCTATAAGCTTTAAGTGCGTTTAAGCACTGAGCCGAGAATCAGCATCTTCAGTCTGCTTTACATTATCATCTGGAACAGAATGAGGACGTATGATCTCAGATCAGCACACGTGCGTACAGTCAACCGTGGGCCGTTTGAGAACGCGGCGCCGCTTCAATTTGACGCGATAAGATGGATGTCTCACTTACGGTTCGATTCGCCATCTAATGTTGAGCTCTGCACTCAGCCGATGCTTTCACATTACAGGCCACTGTTTGGAGAACGGCTGCACCATTTTTCAGTGAGATTGAATGCTGGGCGATCATGTCGCCACACATCGTCTCAAGGTTAAACGCGCTGAGCATGGCAATCCTGCCGATTGTTCCCGGCCATAACAGCACCATCAGAATGAATGTTTGTGAGCGCAGGTTTGACTGATCAAACACTAGATTGATAAATTTGTGAGTGCCAGAAACCTTTGTTGTTTTATTAAATCATCAAACACTTTGATGAACAAAGAAATGAAGAGCGCAGATGGGCATTATGCTCAGACCTCTCCATCGCTGCTGTAATAATAACTGAGGTTGAAATGACTTGAAAAGTCTCTGAGCAACTTTTAGGAATATCTTCTAACCAGATCATAAAAGATTTCCTCCAAAGCTGCATAATCTGGGTTTCCATGAGCAGAGTGCTAAATCTGTCAGCCGTCACAGAACTGACACAAAATGACTAAACAGATGCTCTCTGTTCCAAAACCTAGTGAGCTGCCTTGCTGTCTACTACCTACATAGGCAGCTGTCTTCTAAGGCAGCATCATAACTAGAACAGAACTTCATAAGTTACTGATTTGGAACATTTGTGCGTCATACAATGCTGCTCAAACTCAACTCACAATTCATTTACAATACGTGTATATATTGTTTGTATCTGCATGTATGTATATTTATTATGTATATATTTGATTTATTTTAAATGCTTAAACATATTAGGCTTTTATGACTCATATAGTCAACTGCTCAATTTTATTCAGTCTCAAACTCTGAATAATGCACAGATGCTGATATTTCTATGATGAAATTCTGCTGCTTGTGATGTAAATCAGTGAGATCTTTATAACAGTAGAGCAGATACTGACATAAACATCAGCGGTCGCTCTATCTCTCCAATAATGTCTCTGTAAGATGAGATTGAAATGCTCCAAACATATAATGCAGTGATTGAGAGCTGAAGAAATAAAGGCTCCTCAGAAGATGTGAGATGTTCTGGAGGCTTGTGAAGATCATTCCTCCGCTGAGGAACAGTGAAAGTAAAGCTTCTGGAAACAAACGCTCCTCAAAAGATCCTGAGGATCAGATTTGAGACTCTAAAACATGATTGATGGAGAATCAAGTAAAGCTGAGCTGCTTCAGTCCAGTAAGTGTTCATCTGGAGATATTACTGCAGTTATTCTGACGTTTACTTGATCAAAATCAGTCAAGATTTGACACGAGAAGCTCCAGCTACAGTTACACTAAACGAGCTTTGACTGGATAAAAACTCTAAACTATCAATCAGAGACAGAAGACGTGCAGGAGATCGAGTGACAGCAAAGTTCTGATCATTTGGAGCCTTAGAAATGTGTGTTTGTAGAGTTAATGACATTGTGGACAGGTGGCGCTGTTGTGCAGCACTTGAGCTCATGTCTCTGTCATGAGAAAGGATAGTTTACAGCTGTGAGAGAAACCCTCTCATTCAGAGCCGCACACAGCACTGTTAGAGTTGATGCTCGGGTCATTATGTCCTCACTGCCACTCTCAGAATACACATCAGATTAACGCTAGAAACAGATCTGTCGTGTCTCGAGACGTTTATGGACAGCATCTGTTCTTCAGTGGTTGACCATGGTAACTGTTACTAATACTAACATGGTAAATTCTCATCTGTTGTTTGACACACGAGCAGTTTGTCCTGTTGTGTTTCTGGGTGTTGTTTTTTATGTGTTTATGCTTATATTGGGGTGAATCTCGAAGAAATGTAGATTTTCATTTACAAATCAAAGTAAAAACATGAAAATGGAGCCTATTTTAGGAACAATATTTACTTATTTATTTTTGCGTTGTGATTTTTCAGGACATTTCCACCCATTGTTTTTGTCATTCTTTTTATATTCTCATCTTTGAAATACTGAAATGAAAGTCATTTTTTTCCTCTCAAATCAACATAACGTTAGTTCAGTACTACAAATGCTCCCACATGCACATGTCCTTCTGCTTTATTATTTTAATAACTTATACATTAAATGTAAAGTATGTCATTACTTGTTTGTTTTCACATTATAGTGATAAGATTTGGAGGTGAGACGGAGTCGTAAAGGTCCTGAAATATGCTTGATTATCCTTGTGCTAAATTTAATATATTTTCTCTTTTATTAAGGGTGAAATATGACATACATTGTACATATATTTTACTGTTTTTGTCAATACTGATTAAACAAATTCCTTTTTATTATGTATTATTAATTTATGTATCAATATCTTATGCTTATATAGAAATGCACACACTCACACACACACACAGTACATATATAGGGTGTGTGGGAGTGTATGTAAGTTTACATATTATTTATGCACTTTTTTTGGTTTATATATATGCAAAAGATATATATGCATACAATTTTATTTACATATTTATACATATTTTTCGGTTTTTATATATATATGCATAAACAAAGGAAATCTCTCACAGCATCTGTTCCCTCTCATCTTTCTCATTGATATTCTTTTATTCTCTGCGACACACATACACACACGCATGCACACACACACACACACACACACACAATAACACCCACTCAAACCCCCACATCATCACACACTCCAAACAACCAGTTCTGTTTCCTCCCCCTTCACACTCTCTCTCTCACACACACACACACACACACATGTTGGTTTTTATGGTTTATGGGGACTCTCCATAGGCGTAATGGTTTTTCTACTGTACAGACCGTATATTCTATTGCCCTACACCAACCCTACCCCTAAACCTACCCCTCACAGGAAACTTTGTGCATTTTTAGATTTTCAAAAAAACTAATTCTGAATGATTTATAAGCCTTTTAAATTACGGGGACACTCAAAATGTCCTCATAAATCACCTTCTCGTTGTAATACCTATGTCATACCCATGTCATTATACAAATTTGTGTCCTCATA